GTCAAGATGGCATCATGTCACTGCAACAAGGAACATAGTTTCGTCTTCAGTTTTACTTCTTTATAACAGTACCATGTCACGTGTAGCTGTCACGGTGATGCCAACTTGTTAATTACTCGGTGTATGAAAGTTAATTCAAATCACTTGGAACGAAATCGAAAAACAAAAAAAGTATTGGATTACATTTCCAAGAAAATATACGGAAATCATTGAAAGGAATTATGAAATGCAGCATTCTCACTTCGTGTGGTCTGCAGAAAACCTCTCACTTGGCAAGCATGTAAAATAAAGTAGTTTACAGTAGACTACAATGAAGTTGCATGGATATATTCAGGCTTAGGTTACTGGATTGTGAAGTAAACATGTCATATTCTATATATGTAGTAAAATATTAAGGATACAAGTTATCATTATTTTGTTAAAGCGAGGGAGTCGTCACTTGCGCATGCATCAGATGGCCATAGCCTGTCATTGTCTACAAAGAAGAGTCTTCCCATGAGCCTTTGCGTTTTTGTGTGTGTGGTGTTTTCATCGCTTGGGACTAATTTCCCGCATGTGCGCAGGTGATGACCCTCCCGCTTTAAATCCATCCATGGAAAGAAGTGATTTAATGTGTCTATGACTTTGGTTGTTTTTACATTATTTGTGCTACTCAATATGTTACCTAGGTTCATCAATGTTTACCTGAGCTTCCAAATGTTGCTATGGTTTCCCAATGTTTACCTGTGCTCCAAAATGTTGCTATGGTTTCCTAATGTTTAACTTGGACAGTCAAATGTTGCTATGGTTTCCCAATGTTACTATATTGTTTTCCTGATGTTTCCAGAGTTCTCCAATATGGCACTAGATACCCCACATGAATTTGTTCAATGTATTATCATCTGCATGTGATATAGTACATACTTTTCCTAATGCAGTAATTAATGTCAACAGTTGTCATTCTATGAAATGTTTTTTCCCTATGTGCTACAGACATGAATTGAGTGTACCCAGTTTGTCCTTTGTTTGAAATCACCTCAAAATCTTGATTTCTTGTGGCATCCTTTCTTCCCAACAGTTGTACGCAGACTTGAGAACTATATTTGGACTCCAAGATTGAGATTACATTCTTGCCAAGTATAAATACCAATACACTGTATTTCCTTTTTTTTTGTTAGTTCAGGAATGACAAGTTTAATTTATAAAATAAAACAGCTTTTAATATGACCTCGACAAGAATCCATTTTACAATTTTTCAACTAGGAGTTAGAGAAATGCCATAATTACTCCTTTCAAAAATGTTGTCCATAATTTTTTAAACATTTTTCTTTCATATCTGGGTATATTTGGGAAAGGTGTAAAAAGTTGTCTGTCGTTTGTTTTAAAGCGAGGGAGTCGTCACCTGTGTATGCGTCAGATGGCCATAGCGTGTTGATGTTTACAAACAAGCATCTACCCATGAGCCTTTGCGTTTTTAGCGTGTGTTGTTATCGTCGCTTGGGACTCAATTCTCGCGTGTGCACAGGTGACGACCCCCCCGCTTTAACCGTTTGAATGCCACAGTCAAAATTTATCGCCTTTCATAAAATATATTTCTTTGCACAAAATTTAATCACAACCTGCAAGCAATGGAAAATTATATACATTTGGTCAAAAATTGTCAAAACATTGAAGAATAAGACTGACAAATTTGAAAAATGATGCACAAATATTTTGATAAGAAAAAATATGACATTCAATAGATTTTATAATCCAGGATGATGATAAAATAAATATATACAAATATGTACATTATTAAATAATATTCTAAAAATATTGCAAGATTCAATGGTTAAAAAAACATTTTAAGCGAAATGCATGATGTCATTGATACTGCTTTTTTGCCAGTCTCGATCTCAAATTCACAATTTCACTGAAATTCGTCTGTTCTTTTTTTAGAACTATTTCATCTGTACTAAACAGATGATGACAGTGACAGTCGTATTCAAAGATCCATGAATGACACTAAAAATGTAACACAGGTGCCACCAATTGGGGAAGATAGGGTTCTCCCTCCACCAGGGTGTGGAGTTTGTGATAATTCTAAGTAAAAATGGAGCATTCTATGTCTTACTTGGGCCAAAATTACTATCAGACAGGTCACAGTTGTAGACTGCGCCCATATGTGATCCCTGGTCAATCAGAATGTCATGGTTGCCAGAAGATTTGCTTCCCAGGGTGTAAGGGGAAGCATGGCCATGGCATGAGGGCACTGTGCCCCTGTTCCCTTTTTAAAAAAAATCCCTGTAACATGTACTGTAAAGGGGGAAATTATTCACTGGGTTTTAATTTAGCTTATTTCGCTGACTGGAAAATGCGCTAAATTAAAACCCAGCGAATATGTAAAATTTAGCATAGAACACATTATCTAAATGACGAAACTGTGAATTTAAAACCCACTGAATATGCCTGTAATGGGAAATCAGTGAAATTTAAACCCAGTGAAAATTAGTCATTTTACAGTACTTGTAGTTTCTCGGGGTAACAAATTCAATACCAATGAAAGTTTCTTGATTATATTTCAAATGAATAATAAAAGCATTTTTTCAACTATTTTGATCAAAACCTATAGCCAATTAAAATGTATGTCCATTTGGTCAAAAATTACATTGAAAAATGTTGCATAAATAATTTTGGTGGAAATAATTATGGTAAGGGTAAAATGGTGAAGTGTTGCTTTTTTTTCACAATCCTACAATATTGCTTATAATACATTTTTCAAAAAACAAGATTACTCGAAATCTTTTATTGATATTAGTAATTTAAAATCAGTTAAAACAAAGATATTTTATTTTATGAAACTTGCATATGACAATTAATATGAATAAATATGAAAAGAAATGTTTATTTTTGTAGTATTCAAAATCTTAAAATTATAATCGCTGTTCCTATATTGGGATACTGTGAAGTTCAGACATGAAATTGATTAAACATGTTTTTACATTATTTTTATTGAGCGACATGAGTATTGAAGATTTTCAACACTTTCATCCTCTAAACTCATTCCAATAAACAATGGGCAAAACAGATAATTTCCTCCTTGGCATTACAAAAGTCACAATAACACTAAAATCAAGTTCCTAGGGAAAGGGGATTGATGCTGTTTCCACCCTAAACCTACTGAATCAAAAGCAAATAAAATATCCAAATGAAATCAAAATTGTACAATGCTTGCATTATAAGAGCAGCACCCCCTGACGTCATAGGTCAAACACCCCCTGATGTCATAGGTCAAACACCCCCTGACAGCATAGGTCATACACCCCCTGGCAACTACCATTACAGTGCAGTTTTTCAACACTAAACTACCAGTACATTCAGAAACAATCATACCGTGTAATCGCCATACCCACGGTATTTTATTTTACAATGAACATTGAGCTGCTTATACAAAATTATTTGACAAATCTACAGTTTTATATACATATCTTTTTCTATATTGGCATCTGAAATAACCAAAAAGATAATCAGTTTGGCCTGCTGTGTGCTGAAACATTCTCTATATCATGATAACTATTAGTATTTAGTATTGGGACGATTTATTTATTCAGCAATATAACAGGCCTTGAACTTTAGTAAGGCATTGAAGGCCATTGTTTTGATTTCCAATGTGTTTGACTTGGTGCCTTTTGATATTCCCCATGTTGTTTCTATGTACTAATATTTTATAATTTATAACTCTGAAGTTCAATCCCTGAATCATTTTATTCTTGTGAAACTAATAAACCAGAATTTCAGCTCAAATATTAAGTTCATAGAAAATTCAGGAAAATATTGCAAATACAAAAAACTGCAATTCAAGCTCATTGCAAGTGTTTCAGAAATTGATTGTATACACTGTCCTCGGTAGATTCTCCTTACACATAATGTCATAATAAATAGGACACTCAGCAACTCGTACTACTGAATAAATTTCAGAACTTGCATATTTTTTACATGTTTGAATACCAACTTTATTTGTATTTGGTAAGGTAATCAGCATTTCGTGTAGTCATAGAATATGGCAGCTGTTGTTTTACTGAGCATAAACCAGTTAAAAAAACTTGGAAATTAAGCCTTAATAAGCATCAAATGAAGCAATAATATATGTAACCAGTGACCTCTATTTGAAGGTCTTGTGTAATCACTCCAGAAAATTTTAATCAAATTCTTAGAATAAAAACTTGTGTTTACAGCAAGAGATATCACCATTGAGGGCGCTATCACAACTTCAAAATGTTTACATGTTTGTTGGCAAGTAGGAAAACTAGTGCTTGAGTGCCAAAGTAAACTTCAGGCATCACCCATATTTATTTTCATTCATAGTCTTTCCCACCTAAATATTGTTTTTGTTCAAAAGCTTGATGCAATGTCACATTTTGTGTTTGATCCAAAAATCAAGATTGAATTCTTTATTTATTATATTTTACAGGGCTGATATCGCTCTAATTGGTTTGGCTGTGATGGTAAGTTTGCCATACTGATTTATACGATTACCTATTGCTGCAGATTAATTGGTTGATGACATAAAGTCATAGTGTATTTATATATGTACATGTACTATCATTAGGACATGTTCACTTTGTAAGAAGTGCATGCAATTATTCTTACTTGTTGACCTATCGCCCTGGGTAGCCTGCATAATTTTTTCATAGTTTTTTAGCTCCGCTGTCGACTTTGTCGAGCGGAGCTTATCATACGAGTGATTGACAGTCGTCGTCGTCGTCTGTGTCAATGTTTTACTTTTTTTACTTCTTCTTGAAAACTACAAGCCTGAATGCTTTGATACTTGGTGTATATGTACCTTGGGTAGACCTCTATTAGGTTTGTTCATTTCATGTTGATATCTTCAATTCTCTAATTTTGGTGAATATTTTTGTCATTTTTGGTAAAAAGTGATATTTTTGAATTCTTGTTGAAAACAGCAAGTCCGATTGCTATACAAACTATACATATTGTTCATTTTCTAATGATGTCTTCAGTTCTTTAATTGAAATGTGCATTGCTAGCAGCGGAGCTATCTCAACCGATAGGCTGCTTGTTTAATTATTTTGATCGAGACCTGTTGATTATAGAAAATTAAGTCTACCTGGTCTGAAATAAATAATAGAAAAATTCATAAAATTGTGCATATTGGGCACCAAAATTTTAGCAGGAAAATATATAACGTCTAGGTTAAAATTAGTAGCTCAGTTGAATTCTGGAATCCAAACATTTTGAGACAAACTTGTGTGTATATTGTTCTCTTCTCAGGGCCAGAACATCATATTGAATATGAATGATCATGGATTTGTGGTAAGATATCTGCATTTATCTTTTGAATTTTGATTGTATTATGACAAATATCTGTCACTATTTTTGTATTAGTTTTTTTTTTCATTCATTATTCATACTAAGTTCTTTATTTGTCAAGGTAACTGCTGTTAATTGCATTTTTTCTGCAAATTAATGAGCCTGACGTTTAGGCGTGAATGGCGCCCGCGCCGACTGAACAGCATCAGACCCTACTAACTTGTGACAGAATAGTGTATGTATCGTCAGCAAAATCAATACTGCGAATTTGCGAAGTTCACATCTTCTTGCAATGAGTTTCAATGAATATTCATTATGGTGGTCATGGTAACAACGACAATCAAAGCTGCTTTTGCATTGTCAGCAAAAATCACAGACTGTTTTCAATAAGATGATAAACATTGGGCGAAAATTTGCCAGCAACTTATCACACATTATGTCAACAAACAAATAAACTCTGCTGTGAATGGTTACTCTTTGATGGCTGTCACTATCTGACGTTCCTGCAATTTGATTGGTACCGACAAAAAATCGTTGGGGAGGTGAAAAACTACATCGTTCTGTCAGGCGTGGTTGGATTTGGAGCACCTGGAGGGCACAACTAATATGACCTTGTCAGGCTACAAATTAACATATTTAAAAAAAATATAAAAACAATTCAGCTTTGAAAAATAAAAAACAGATTCTTCAATTCTGTATATGGCATGCAAAATGTTTTTCTACTGGTGCATATAAAACAATCCATTCTGTTCTAGGTATGTGCATTCAATCGTACTGTTGAAAAGGTTGATCACTTCTTGGCTAATGAAGCAAAGGGAACCAAAATTATTGGTGCTCATTCAATAGAAGAAATGGTTTCCAAGTTGAAGAAACCTCGCCGTGTAATGCTTTTAGTGAAAGCAGGCAGTGCTGTTGATGCATTTATAGACAAAATTGTGAGTATAGTAAAAGAGTAATTGTTTCTTTCCTTTACAAGTTTGGACTGGTAAAGTTTTCCCTACCAGATTAATACAAATGCTTCAAACATACGCTTTAACCTTTTCACCACCAGTTCCCACTTTTCATCACAAATTCACAAAGTAGTCCCGTTTATAGTCTGCACTTTCCTTCAGAAGATTGAAACAAAAATAGCCAAATTGTTTTGAGTGAAAACTGTAAATTCACTGTGTCGGTGACGATCGTGAAATATTTTTATATTTTCAATGCCATAATTACCAAATTCCTAGCTGTGAAAAATTTAGCGATTTACAGTTTATATCCCTTATCCTGCCAGCCCCATGTACTTGACCATATAAGAGTTAATGCCTGTATAAAGAATATAATAATAATAATTTTCTGAATATTAGTGGTTTTCCCATACTGTTCAGACACTATTTAAATAATAACAGGCAAACTAACATTCGCATAATAATTAATATACAACACAAATTTAAACTCACACAGTGCCTCCCTACAGTGTAGGCAGACGTGCTAACCACTGAACCATACTTACATGATGGTTATTCTGGTTATAGTACATACTTAAATAATAAAAACGATGAAATAATTAAAGACATTTCAAAACACATTTATACTTGTTTTATGCTTAGAGAGGACAAAATCAAACAATGACTTCAGTACCAGCTGCCTCAAAAACACACAAAACACAAATTTACATTTATTTACATTATATTACAATTATTCATTTACCATTTCTTATTTTGAGATATGTATTTATTTCATTTATTTACAGTATTATTAGTATTTCCTTTTATTTGTGTTTTTTTATTATTACATGTTTTTGACTTTATTGTATTTTATGTCAAGATCTCAAATGGGATACGATAGCAATAAAGATTAACTTACTTACTTACCTGAAGGTTACAGCATATAATAGATCTGGTTCCATGATTGTTGCCAGGTAATGGAGTTGTATAATTCTATTATTTTGTTTATTTATTTCTTTAGGTGCCTCTGTTAGAGAAGGGTGATATCATCATTGATGGTGGTAACTCTGAATATACAGATACTAGGGTGAGTTCTACTGCTGTTGTTTTCATCAATAACTGGCATTACTGCTTATCTCCAGGACATCACAGATTTGTTACTCGAAACACAGACAATCACAGTCAGTAATATGTCATTGAACAAACCACTGTAAGTTTAGTTGCGAAACAATTACATTTACAAAAATTACATTCTTGGAGCAATTTTCATTAGAATATTAATGTTAAACATTATTTTATAAAAGAATTAAATATTCAGGTTTTGTGAACAGCTACAGAAAATAAAAAAACGCATTTCAAAATTCAAGGAAATCTGTTTAAGTTGCCCCTATGTTTGGTTTATATGTGTGTGTTAGTAGGAAGGGGGATTTTGAGTTAAGGGCAGACCCCACAAAAACTTTTTTGTGGGTAAGTTTCATGAAACCAGTTTTTACTGCTTCTAAGTTATTCTATGCTGAATAGCATCAGTAATGATTCTTATAACCTTGAGTGCCAGATATTTTTCCTGCCCAAAATTCATTGCAAATAATTTCACATTTTGTACAATTGTTGCTAAATTTCATCATCATTTTGGATCATACAGACAGTGGCAGATATTGCTTTTTGTTTTTGATTAAAAGATTTGTCAATTTTTATCAACCTTTCATGTGGGGAAATATCAGCACACTATACAAAATCATTTTGTAAATTGTGGCAAAAGTTGGCAATGGCACTCAAAGTGTTAAGTAAAATACAAACTTGGTATCAAATAAAATCAATATAAACTCAAATGTCATATTTCTATATCTTGCAACAGCATCAGTGTTTGATCTCTATAATGGTCTTTGAATTGACCAATCAGTGAAGTGTTTATGTTCTGGGCACCAGCTAAGTTCCCTAGGGGATTGCAACAAGCAAAATACATTTGCTCCAACACAAAAACTAGAATCCACTAGACAAATCTATTTCTGATTCCTTTAGCCCAACCTGTTAGTTTCATAATAGAATGTGTGAAAGTGATCATAGTCCTTCTACAAGCCAAATTTTGTGGCAATTGAACAATATACAGAAACATTTCCTTGTATTTTCAGCTTTTCGTCTTGGTGAAAAATAAATTGAAATGCCATGCTAGTTTGTTAAAGTCTGTGTATGCTGGTCATAGATTGCTCTAGTCTAGTCATTTAACACGTAAATGTATCATCCAAGCTTAAAACCTCACTATGGAAAGAGATTTGCATGGGAAAATTGATGGGGGATTTAGGATAATCAACACAAAGCAAGTGGCAATAGTCAGTACTATATTGCAGGCAAACGATGGGCATTGTGCCCGGGCACAGATCATATGTTCTTCTTGTGCGAGGGTACAAAACTATATTTGGACTGTAATGTTTGTATTATGTGCATCTTAGACAATTATACATGAATTTAAGTCTCCAAAACAATCACACTTATCACCAGTTATCAAAATCTTCTATGAGCATGTAAGCACCGCCAACTTCAATATTGAAGTGTATATGAGTGGCAACATTCAATACCCGCTTCACTGGATCACAAAATATCTTTAAAATTTCTATTCCAAGCTATGTAGCAAATTTGCATGAGAGTAAAGATCGGAATGTAATAATTTGCCAATGCAGAGATTTTTTGTATTTGAATGTCTATGACTTTTTTTTTTACAGCGTCGGTATTTTGCTTTGAAAGAAAAGGAACTTCTGTATGTTGGTAGTGGTGTAAGTGGTGGAGAAGATGGCGCAAGATATGGACCATCACTGATGCCTGGTGGTTCCATTGAAGCATGGTAAATATGGTCCACATTCTAGTACTTCATATCTTACACGTTCCTGGTACACACAATCTGGTACCTCACAACTCTTCCTTCCTGGTACCATACAACCTCCTGACTTCTCACAGCTTGTACATCTCAATGAATCTGAAAGTTATATATACAGCTCACACATTCAAATTCAAAAGTTCAAACAATTGTTGATATTGATTTCACAGGCCGCATATCAAGACAATATTTCAAAGTATCAGTGCCAAGGCTGATGGTGAACCGTGCTGTGATTGGGTAAGTCATCTATAGGACTTGTGCTGATTGGCTAAGCCACTTTTAGGATTTGTGCTGATTGGCTAAGCCA